CCCCACCTCTGTCTTCAGGAGCGAAGTTCTAACTCATGATGTCCTCCCCGGGGCGGCACGGGGAGGCGACCCTCGGGAGTCTGGAGGGCTTTCAGGCCAGGAGCACGCATAGTCCACACCTCAAGAACAATGTGACCCAAGCTTGGGGGCCAAGACCCCAGTTGTTATCAGCTTGGCAAGACCCTGATGTGTAGCCAAGCCATGGGGGTCAACGAGGTGTGTCAAAGGGGGGAGGTTTCCCTGTCCCCACCTGTTCACTGATACATTTACTCCACCACACTGTGAGAGTCTCCCTGCATGTACATGGACAACTCGTAAATAGGGATTGCAACAGCATCTTGCAGACTTTCTGACCGTGACATGCAGGACAAGAATCCAGGGCTCGCACGCAAACACATGTAACTCAGACAAAAGATTGAAGACAGCGAGGCTGATCCGGTCACAAGTATTACCCTTCATCCATTCCATTCCACCCTGTTCTCTCCATCTTAAAATGTTCCTGGGGGCTTCTGGGTGGCTCAGTCAGTTAAGCGTCCGACTCCGGCTCAGGTCATGATCTCGCGGCTTGTGGGTTCGAGCCCCGTCTAGGGCTCTGTGCTGACAGCTCGGAGCCTGGAGCCTGCTTCCGATTCTCTGTCTCCTTCTCGGCCCTCCCCCGCTCATGTTCTCTCTCTCTTTCTCTCTCTCTCGTTCTCTCGAAAATAAACATGAAAAAAAATTCTTTATTTTTTTTATTATTTTTTTTCATGTTTATTTATTTTTGAGAGAGACAGACAGATGGTGAGCAGGGGAGGGCAGAGAGAGAGAGAGGGAGACACAGAATCTGAAACAGGCTCCAGGCTCCGAGCTGTCAGCACAGAGCCTGATGCGGGGCTCGAACTCGCAAATGGTGAGATCAGACCCGAGCTGAGGTCGGACGCTTAACCGACTGAGCCACCCAGGCGCCCCAAAAAACAATTTTTTTTAATAAGTAAATAAAATAAAATGCCGTTTCTGAGCCACTAAATCAATTTCACACCCACCGATGGGTCACAGCCTACAATTTGAAAAGTGCTGGTGGAGCGTGAAGGCTGAGCAGGAAGGGCCAGCATCCTCCCAAGGTCAGTTACTGGCGGGTTTTACCCAGGGCGGGACAGCTGGGATTGTGTTTCTGGAAGCTCCCCAGCAGGCAGACAGGCAGGCAGCCCGCGGGTGGGCTGAAGGGCAAAGGCCAAGGCCTTCAGTCTTCCTGCCTTTGCATGCACCACCCGGAACACATCTCCCTGAGAGATAAAGGAACAGGTTCAACTCTGGTATCATCTCCTCCAGGAAGCCTTCCTGATTACATCCCCTTTCCCAAGACTGCAGGTGCCGGTGTCCCGTCTGTCCCCACCCCTCCCAAGACCAAGGCCCAGCCAAAGCAGGCAGCTCAGGAATGTGGAGACCAGAAGGAACGAGGGAGGAGATAACCCGGGCCCAGCGGGAGCCCCTGGCCCTGCCTCGCTTGCCTCCCACCCTGCATCCTGGCAGCTGCCCTGTCCGCCCCGTGGGACCCGCCTGGCGCCACAGGGATCAGGCCAGCTGAGGGTTCCGGGCATGGGTGGAGGGGTCTGCCCAAGGCAGGGAGCGGCCAAACGTGGTGTAGGGATGGAGACCGGCAGAACCCAGGAGGAAGAGAGCTCCCCGCCCAACAGTGTTCCCGGCTCAGGCTCTTGGAAGGGGTCCTGGGCACGATGGGCTGGAGGAGGTGAGCCGATAAGGGCGCGCAGGAGGGAGCACTGCCCTGAGCCAGGCAAAGGGAGCACGGGTCGGGCAGGGAAGGCGGAGACAGCTCTGCCCACCAGCTCCCAGAGCCAGCACGGGAACAACTGGGGTGCCCTGCCCAGGGAAGAGAGGGCCGTGCATCTCCAGATGTACCCCAAAGCTACGGCCATCACCCCGTCAGAGAGGGGAGTAGCTGCCAGGGTAAAATATTCCAGAGGCCTCAGTTCCAGGCCATAACGCCTTTGGGTGACCTTGTGCACCTCTGAAAGACTCCGTTTCCTCACCTGGGTAGCGGGTTGGTTTATGGAGCCGGGAATACCTGTGTGTGTCCATCGTGTGTCCCGTCCCTCCTGCAGCTCACCGGGCTGCAAGTCAAAGCGGCCAGAAGCCTTCTTCTCTGGGAGTGAGTATTCTAGAGGGGCAGGAGGCCTGGAGCCGGGGATGGGAGAGACCCCTGGGGGCCCAGGAGCAGGTTACTACTACCAAGCATCCCAAGAGATGGCCCAGGCCCTGGGTTCCCCAGTCCGATCACAGTCCCGGGGTACGCAAAGGCACCGAGGCTCCGGTAAGATCACCGAGGCCAGGGGCCATTCACCAGACACCTGGATTTGGGTTGGGGATGGAGGGTGGGGACAGAGAGACCCAGTTACTGGGATGGAATTTACTGCTGTCTGGCCATGTGACAGGGGCTCCGAGTTAAAATTAAAAAGATCTGAAGGAGATACAAAGAGTGCTCTTTCTGGCTGTCCGAGCTCGCAGACAGGGCTCCTAACCCCTGTGTTTATACTTGGGATAATAATATCCCCAATCGCAAATGGAGATGTGCTTTGTAAACTGTCAAGTGTCAAACAAACGAAAGGCGTGTTCTGGATTCATCCGTCCTAGGTCCCTGGGGAGGCGGGGGGGTGGGGGGGTGGGGGGTGGTTGTTGCAGAGTCTGCCCGGCCAGCAATGTTCCCCCACAGACAGCAGCAGACGGCTCAGGAGGTGATGTGGGAACAGCACGGGGCAGAACAGCACGGCCTGTCCGGGACACCCACCCCCCGGCGCGCATCGGCCAAGGACCCAGACTGACAAATGACTCAGACACACAAACACCCAAGGCCTGGGCAGAGGCGAGGCGTCGCACAGAGGCTGCTGGATCGGAGATGAGGGGCTCAGAAGCCGGGGCGCGGGGGCGGTAGGACGGGTGGAGGTGGCACTCGTGGGGAGGGGGCCTCTCCCTGGGCCTCCCTCCCCTCCCTCCAACCTCAGCCATCGGCCCTGGTTGCCTCAGTGGTGTCATGGAGCCCATCGTGCATCTGAGCACTTGCTGTATACATGATGCTTACAGACATGAGTTTTCAACCTCAAAGGCTTACAAAGAAGACCCCTGTGTCCATAAGAGGAAACTGGGGTTTCTGGGGGTTAATTCATTAGCATCGATGTCACCACTATTGGGTATTACTCGGTGATCTGTCCAAGCTCACGTGCTTATCAGTGATGACCACCTGCAGCCTGCAGCCTGGGAGAAGCAGAAACACCCTGTGCTAGAATCCCAGCCCCTTCCCCAACTTCCAAACTGCCTCTGAGAACCTCCTGTTCCTCCCTCAGGCTAATCCTGCGTGATGATCCGGACCCCCGGGTCCCCGTTTTTAACTGCAGACCCTTTATGCCCAGCAAAGTCTGACATCTGCCCCGTTGGCAGTTCCCTCCCTTTGCTGGCCCATAGTCGGAGAGGTCCCTGGCTGCCTCTGGGCAGGGACGAGCCACCAAAGGCCTTTCTCGTTTTCCAGCCAAAGTGTCAGTTCGAGGTGCTGTCTCGTACCCCACCTGCTCTGGCTGGGTCACCGGCATGAGGCAGGACCTCTCCTCTGGGGCTGCCTGCCAAGGTTGCGCCCCAGGCCTCGCCCTCCCCATCATGCCCTGTAGCCTTTGAATAACGGGATCCCGCTCAGGCTCATCCTAGTTCGGTGGCCCTTGGCCACACATGGCTACTGAGCGCTTTAAATGTGACTAGTCTTCCAAAAAATAAATAAATAAAAATAAATGCAACTAGTCCAAACTGAGAGATGCTCTAAATGTAACCTCCACGCCAGTTTTTTTTTTTTTTTTTAGTTGAGTGTAATTGACATATAACATTTGTTTCAGGGGTACAACATGATAACTTGATATTTGTGTATATTTGGGTTTTTTACATGTTTATTTTATTTACTTTGAGAGACAGGGAGAGAATCCTAAGCAGGCTCCGCATTGTCAGCACAGAGGCTGACACAGAGCGCGAACTCACAAACCGCGAAATCGTGACCTGAGCCGAAATCAAGAGCCCCCTAACTGGCTGAGCCACCCAGGAGCCCCCATATTTGTATATATTGTGAAATGATCACCACAATAAGTCGGATAACATCCATCACCAGATACAGTTACAACCATTTTTCTTGGGATGAGAACTTTTAAGATCTGCTCTCTTAGCCATTCTCAAATATGTAATACAGCATTTTTAAATGTTTATTTATTTTTGAGCAAGAGATGGACAGAGCATGATCAGGGGAGGGGCAGAGAGAGAGGGAGACACAGACTCTGAAGCAGGCTCCAGGCTCTGAGCTGTCAGCCCAGAGCCTGATGCGGGACTCGAACTCACCAGCCGTGAGATCGTGACGTGAGCGGAAGTCGGCCGTTTTAACGACTGAGCCACCCAGGCGTCCCTATAATATGACGTTGTTAGCTATAGTCTCCATTCTGCACGTTACAGCCACGGGGCTGATTTATCTTATAACTGTAAGTTTATACCTTTTGACCACCTTTCCCCTTCCACCCACCCTGCGACCCCCAACCCATTCCCTGTATCTGCGAGTTGGGGGTTATTTATTTATTTATTTATTTATTAGATTTCACGTATAAGTGAGGTCATACGGTATTTGTCTTTCTCTGTCTGACTTATTACGCTAAGCATGATACCCTTAAGGTCCATATGTTATTGCAAATGGCAGAAATTCCTTTCTTTCTTATGGCCGAATAACATTCCATTGTATGTTATATATATATTTTTTTCTTTGTCCGTTCATCGTTGGTGGATACTCAGGTTGCTTCCATGTTCTAGCGATTGTAAATAATGCTTCAATGAACATGGGGTGCAGATGTCTTTTTTTTTTAATTTTTTGCAATGTTTATTTATTTTTGAGAGAGAGAGAGAGAGAGAGGGAGAGACTCTTAAGCAGGCTCCACGCTGTCAGCACAGAGCCCGACACAGGGCTCGATCTCACGAACCACGAGATCATGACCTGATCTGAGACCAAGGGTCAGATGCTCAACCAGCTGAGCCACCCGGGCGCCCAACAGATGTCCTTTACAATTAACATCTTTGTTTCCTTCGGATACACACCCAGAAGTGGAATTGAGTCCTACACCCCAGTTTCAAGACTTAGGAAAAAAAAAAATAATGTAAAATATAGAGATACAGCGTATCATTAAAATCTATTTTTACTTCCTTTTTCTTTATTTTATGGGGCTATTAGAAAATCTAAAATCAGGGGCAAGTTCTGGCCTTAATGTCTGCAGCTGGGTCTCTCCGATGAGCGGGGATAGATCAGGCCGGGGGAAGGGGTGTTTCATTCTACCTTGTTGCGGATTCTCTCCAGAAGTGCCTACACTCGAACCCAACCTCCCAGCCAGCATTCTGTTCCCTCCCAAACCTCACTTGGGTCCATATGAGAAATTCATGCTCCCCTGCCCGTGTAACCTTGACCTTATTTTAACCCATGGGATTAGCTGAAAGGAGCCATACCCACAGGGAGGTGGAAATGACAGACAGCAGGGGACCCAGGCAGTAGGAGGGGGCACAGCAGGGGTCGTGGGTCCCACTAACACCAAGCTGTCCCCAGGCTAGCTCTGCAGCAAATGCTCTCTCTTTCTCTATCTCTTTCTCTCCCTCTGGTTCCAGGTCCCACGCAGACAGCGCATCCTATAGTCAACAGATAAAAGGACCACGTGTAGACAAGGAGAAAAGAGAAACCACACCCGGACCCTGGGGGTCAGTTCACGTCAGCAGCCTCTGCCCCTATCTCCTGGAGGGCACAACTGTGCTTTTATCCCACACTCTTGGACAACAGGGGAGACAGAAATGGGTCCATCCTCAAACGACCTTCAGGGACAGCCAGACCAGAGGGGGCATAAGAGGAAGCACCAAGCCCAACCAAGAAAGCTCCCACCAAGGACCCTCAGAGAGGCTGGGGGCAGGGATGCAGAGGGCACAGACCCGCAGGGACAGAAGCTGAGACTAGGGGGCCTTGCCAACAAAGGCCCAACGTCCAGCCTTCCAGGACAAGTCTCGGAGCTAGGGTCCAGCCAGAAGGGAGGCCCGCCAAGAGGAAGGAGAGCGTCACTCGACTCTCTAGTTGAGCTGGGTCATGCAGGGCCTTGAAGGCCATACTCAGAAGTCTGGACTTTCTCCGGAAGGCGACTGAGGGTTTCTCAGCAAAGCAATGAGAGGCTCAGAGGTGTGTGGGGCTGGCCACTCTGGCCTTTCTAAACTGGGTGCACCTAGAAGACGTGGAAGACAGATAGAGGGGGCCTGTCAGCGACCCCCCCCTCCCCGCCCTGGGATGCCCAGCCGCGAGTGGGCGGGTGAGGCTTGTCAGTGTTAACAGCCAAGCCAAGCTCACCCAGGACGCAGCACACTATGCAGCCCCCTGTGGACAGTGCTACATTCATGACCTTATTTAATCTATGCAGCTATGCTGGGAGGTCGGCACAGAGCAACTGAGGACTGCTAGGTTTCTTGAATGTATGCGTGAATGAACGAATGAATGTTGGCTAATAACTGTAACCTCCAGTCCTTACATTATGTACTGGATGCATTGGGCTAAATTGCACCGATGGGTTTGATTCTGGATTGAAGCCCCTTTCGAGGCATACGGAGCCTCGTTGGATACATTATTGGGCCTGCTATAAGTGAGCACCGGATGCTAAGAAGAAGGGGGCCCCGGGTAGGGGTGACGCACAGGGCCTGGCCCTGCGGGGAGAGGTGTGGCCCAGCAGCCCCGAGTCTATCCCTGCAAGCGCCCCTCCACACCTCTCCTGGATCTCAGGCAACAAGCACTCTCCTGCTGGCTCAAGCCTCTCTCCAGTCCTGGAATTAATAAAGACTCTGAACAGACTGCGGTTTGCAAGTCTGAAAGCCGGTTCCTGCCCACGTCACTGCCCTGAGAAGAGTGGGGCCCATCTCCTCCCCAGCCCCCCCTCCCTTCCCCCTTCCCGGGAGTTTTGGGGGGGGGGCACGCAGATGCACCCCATAGACTCCCCTACCCACGTGCTAGCTCATCCTGGGCACTGAGCCTCAAGACCCCGGCCCCGGAGCAGCCCCTACCCCCACCAGCAAAGGCTAGTTCGGGCTCCTGACCTCTTTCAGCTACCCCAAAGCATCCCCGAATAACACGCACTGGAAGTAAGAGCCTTGTACACTTACTGTGTAGAGGGCTTCAAGCCAGTTCTCCTCATGCACCCACCTTCTTCCAAACTCCGGGCGCAGCTGCTGTCTGAGACCAGGGAGAGGGAGGGATGGCCCAGGGTCCCGAGGTGGCCCAGCAGACAGCCAAACCTAACAGTCACCCTAAACACAGCAATGGGCTTGCAGAATGGGCGATACCAAGAGTAACACTGGAGTGGTGGTTCCTGCAGCAAACGAGGAAAGAGCATTTGGGATCTGGCAGGCACGGCACAGAAATATATGACCACATTTTATTTATCTTTGCAATAACCCTCCTAGGCAGGGATATTTATCACCCTCTGACGGATGACGAATCTGAAGATCTGTGAAGAGGCTACCCCGGTAGAAAGTGCTAGAGTTGGAAGTTAGCGGTAGGTTCGCCCGAGGCCAGTGCGTGGCCTTGCAAGACCTCCAGGCTGCCACAGCTCTCCTGGCTGGAGGTGGGATCCTTTGGCTCTTTTGCTCAGAGCTGGGGTGACCTCTCCCCCTCACTCCCCATCTGGGAACAGGGGAAAGCTCACAGAACTTGTGGCCTCGACTTTTTCCCCTCGGAGGCTCCGATGAAGGCAAGCGTCAGTTTCCCTCTTCAATCCCCGAGCTCCCAAATTTATCCCCCACTTTCAGAGGCTGGGGAGGCATGACCTACCCCACCCCAGAAAAATCCCCGAGGTCCTCATCCTGTGTCAGGCAGGCTGGGACCACCTGAGCCCTTCTGGAAATGCTGGTCGCGGCTGTTTTGGCGCAGGGCTGCCCCCTCCTGGCCACCAGAGGAATGTCAGCCCCCCGGGCGTTCTCCCCGGGGCCTGGGGAGAACAGGCAGTCTGGGGACTCTGAGTCTGGTCTGCATGCTAACAGCGCTCAGCGTTGAGACAGATAGGGGCTGGGTGATAAAAGGGGGGCTGGGCCACCTGTCAGTGTGGGTGAGGTCCCCAACTCCCCGGTCCCCCATAGAGCACCTGGGGACCCTGCCTGAACTTCACCAGACACCGTGGCCTACACAGGCCTGCGTGTGGGACTGTGACCTTGATCTGTGACGAATGGAATCCCTGTGGTGTGTCAGGATCCCCCACATGTCCCTCAGATGTCCCAGGGGACAACACCAGCATGGTCTTCGTTCCCGGGCGGCCATTCCCCTGGTGCAGCCCGTCTGCTCTCGCAGATACGGATCCCGGACCTGTGCAGCACCCCTTCCCCAGCGGCCAGGCAGGGGAGTGTGCCCTTACCCAATAAGAGTGGAGCCCTATAATGTGTCAGGGTCCTCCTTCCTTTCCCCAGATGCCCCGGGGGACAGCGATCTCACCTTCCAGGCCATTGTGCTCATAGCCCCTCAACCTCTGGAGACCTGGGCCCCAGGCCTCGGACCCCAGACCTGCCCAACACCCCACCTCCCCAGCTCTGGGCAGGGACCGTCTCTGACCAGACCTCGGGGTGTTGAGGGGAGTCTGGAGGGCCAGGGTGGAGACAGAGGCGCGGGACAGCTGGCCTGTGTCCCCACACTGGGCCCGGGGCCCAGCCGGAGGGGCGGGGGCCTGGCCACTCGGGCCTTGGCTGGGGCCGGATTTTTGGCTGGGCTGCAGGGCCCTCCCTCCCGCTTCCTCTCCCGAGGGCTGTCCTGGCAGAGGCCCCCCTCGCACTTTCTGGCGGGAACAGGGCCAGCAGTGAGGGAACAGCTACAGAGGGAAAGCAGGAGAGAGATGAAGGAACTCTGTGTGTGTGTATGTGTGTGTGTGTGTGTGTGTGCGTGTGCGCGTGAGTGTGTTTTAAGGAAAAAAGCCCACAGTCCAGTCCAGTCAGACCCAGCCTGGGAGGCTTGTGAGCCGGGCCTTTCGTAATTGCCCCCCTCCCCGCGGCCCCCTCCCCCAGGCCTCCCCCTTCTCCCGCCCTCCCGCCCGCCCTCTCTCCCTCCCTCCTTCCCTCTCAGCCGACGAGGCAGCAATTACGCTTTGGGGATAAAACGAGGCGCAGAGAGCGGGCTGGGGCATTTCTCCCCGAGATGGCGGGTCTGAGAACTGCAGCCCTGCGGCCCGGAGTCCTCCTGCTCCTGCTGTCCGTCGTCCACCCCTCGCAGCCTGGAGGTAGGCCTCACCCTGCCCCCCCGGGGCTCGCCGGCAGCCCGAGGGCCTCCCGGCCAGGTGGCCGGACTGACAGACCAGAGGGCGCCCTTCATCCCGCTGTCCTCCAGGGGGTCCCTCAGCCACTGGATCCTCAGAACGGCCCCTCCCGGGAGCCAGCCCGTGCAGAGGAGGAACCTGTCACACAGACACCCCGAGACTCAGGATGGTCCCAACCGTGTCCAGGTTCTGCCGCTCCGACAGGGCTGACGACCCCTGCTCTGTCCTGGGAGCTCCGCCAGTGTGGGGGGTGGGGGGGTGGGGGGGGTCTGGAGCACACACTGGGGAAGGGCCGGTGGGGGGTCCCAGTGGGTCATGGGGCACTGGCGGTTTGCACACCTGTGAACCCAGCGGGGGGTTGCGCACATGCCCTGAGGGCAGGGGACCTGGGTTGGAGGCCAGCTCAGCCGCGGTGAGCTGTGTGACCTCAACAGGTTCCTTGTCCCCTGGGAAGCCAGGACCCCCCTCTGAGGAAGGTCAGAGTCAAGTTGATTATGGGGCTGTGGGTTGGAAAGCCTCTCCTGTGGTCTGTCCCTGGTGAGGAGGGCTGGGACATCTGAGCATCTGTGTGTGTGTGTGTGTGTGTGTGTGTGTGTGTGTGTGTGTGTTGAGGTGGGGGTTGAAGGGTATGTGACAGTGCCTGTTAGCATGTGCAAAAGTCTGCCACCTGACAGGCATGTACACGTGGGAAATATGGTCTCCAGGTGTGGATTGTCACTGTGCATGTGACTCTGTGTGTGTGTGTGTGTGTGTGTGTGTATGTGGTACAGAACACAAATGAGGATCAGGGAAGCTGGGGAAGGTATTCATCTGGCAGAGGGAGGGTGGCCAGTAGCAGAGGCTAGAGGGGACCTCGGAGCAGTCCTGTACGTGCTCTCTGTTGCAGGCCACAAGGGTGCCCTCTGTGGGGCCACTGCACACCTCGAAGGACCCTAGGAGTGGCTCCCAGGGGGCCCCCGAAGGTGCTTCTGGCCACAGGAAGAGAGGAGTGCAGACACTTGAGCCATGTGGTGGGGTGGCCTGGGTGGGGTCAGCTTTCCGTGGGAGTCCACCTCGCCTTAGGAACCAGACCCTCAGTGGGGCCGGCGTCGGGGGGCACAGGATGGAACAGGGCCAGGCCAGAGGGCCGGAGTAAGGGGCTGGGGCTGCAGGAACTGTTTCCGTGAGATTGACCAGCCAGACAGGACCCCAGAGAGCAGAGGCTTCCTGCACAGAGGTCAGCTCCCAGGCCTGGATTGGGCGGCGGGCAGGGGGGAACACGCACACCATCGGTTGGGCCCCGCAGGGGGAGCGAGACAATCCCAGAGGACCAGCCACCCCAGCGCCGAGAGCAGCAGCTCTGGGCCCTCCTGAGCCTCCTCCCGGCTCCCGCAGGTGTGGCCCCCGAACACCCGTCTCTCCAGACAGTGCCACCAGCTATGTAGCGTGGCAATTAATCCCCTCAAAAACCCTAAGAGTTGAGCCTATGACCTTCTTTTACAAATAGGGAAATGGAAGCTCAGACAGCCAAAGGCATCTCTGAGGGGGTTAACACCGGCCAAAGGGGGTTAACACCAGCCAGTTCTCTGCCAAAGGGTGACGGGTGGATGCAGGGCACCGGGCGACGCTTGGGAAAGCCCACGCCCGAGACTGAGTCCTCTAGAGTGGGCATACCCTAGAGCAGGTGCCCACAGTGACACTACCAAGCCTCGACCGCCCTGCTTCTTTTCTTGCACATAAGTCTCAGCTCTGGCCCACATGGTAGACCAGCTAGGTCCCAGGAAGGAGGACGTGAATCCATGCCATCTGTTGGGGGTTTTGCCCAGGGACTACCAAAATCTAAAGAGGTCGGGGTGTGGAAAGGGGTGTGGAAAGGGCCGTACGTCCACACACACACAGAACCGCCCTCCTGGCTCTCCTGGGGAGCCCAGCTTCCCCCCGCCCTCCATTGAGAGGATATCACCCCCACGAGTTCCCCAGCCCCCAAAGAAACATATTGTCAGTGGAGGGGGCTCCCCAGAAAAACTGGTGGCAAGGGGTGTCTAGACCCACTCAGGATAGCTCCAAAGTAGCTTTGAGGACCAGCTGTCCCAAACCCCTATGCCATTTATAAAGGGAGAGAGAGAGGGAAGAATTAAATCAGACAGAGTTCTGTCTCCCAGGACCCAGAAATAATATCAGCCTTTCTTTTTCTGATTTCGGAACTAAGGATGATTTAGTACAGGGCTTGTCAGCCCCTGGCTGAATATTAGACTTAACTGGGGAACTTTAAACAATTCGAATGCCAGGGTCCCACCCAAGAATTCCTGCTTTCTTTGGTCTGAGGAGGAAACTGGACGTGGAGGTTTTGTAAAAACTGTCCAGGTAACTCTGATGAGCCTCTGGGGCCAAGGACCTCCGGCTGAGCTAATCCTGCTCTCCGCATTTGCTGGGACCAAGGCAGGAGGTCAGACGTGCCCAGGGGAGGGAGGGGACAGAGTCCCACACTAGAGGACGGATTGTTTTTGAAAAGCCCTTGGCAGGCTTTCTCCCTGCAAACAATAAACAGCTTCGTGCGGACTGATCCGCTCCCCTGCCAGCCCCCTGGACTTGGGCTTGGCAGAGCCCCTTGCCAAGGCTTGCTGGCCCCATGCTCATTCCGGAACAGCCTTCTCCACATCTCTGAACCTGAAGCCCGGGGGCCCAGGCAGAAGGCCCTGCGTGTGACTGGGGTCAGCTGTGGGTCCCCGGCCAGGCGCCTCATCTCCCTGGCGCTTGATTTCCCTGGCTGCAAAATGAGGGAAAACATCCCTGCTGCATTTATCTCCTAGGCACAGTGGGAGGCGTCAGCCACGGAACATCTGCAAACATCAAATAAGGGGACTGTGGGGATGTGAATTGCTAAAACGATAGATCTTCGTATTCGGACGCACTTATTCGGGCTGATTGACTTTTATAATCAGTGCCTCGTTTTAAGGTTTAACTTTCCCTCTCGCTACTCACCCCCACGTTCTGTCTCCTGGGCACAGCAGGCGTGAGTGATGGGGGAAGCAGCTAGGAACGGGGCGGGGAAGGCCCGGAAGAGTCCCAGGAAATCCAGGAAGGCTTCATAGCAGAAGAGGCCTTTGAGTTAGACCTTGAAAGAAAGGTCAGCGTTTGAGGGGCTGACTGTGGATGAGAGATGAGCCTGGGCCCAGGGGGCCCTGAGAGGCAGAATTGGAGAGACAGAGGGGCAAATTCTATCTCAGCAGAAAGAAGACCTCTCTGCAGGTAGGGCTGACGGTGTCGGGAGGGGGTGACTTTCCTGTCACTGGAGGCGTGTGAGCAGAAGCCCGGGGGGGCGGAGGAGGGAGGGATGTTTGCGGAAGGAGTTTCCACCCAGGCCAAGAAGACTGTTACGATCTCGGAGAGTCTAGGATCCGGATTCTAAGACGCAAGAGACAAGTTCCACCCTGGGCTAGCCCGCGAAACAAGCCAAACCCACATAAAACAAGACAAGCATATGCTCCAAGCCAGCTGCTTTGGGCCAGCTGAGCAGTGAGAGCCACAGGCCCAGAGAAGGCAGGAAGGGAAGAATTTGAGCTCAGTCTTGGAGGAAGGGCAGGACTGGGGAGCAGAGAGGCATCCTGGCAGGAGGATGCGCTCTTGCCAAGGAGGTAAGAAGGAGGGTGACCAACTGGAGCACGAAATGAGGCCACTGCCTTTTTGAAGGCCCCTGACTGACTCCTGTCGTCATCTGTTCTCACCTCCCCTGCACTTGCCCGGAGCAGGCAGGGCGGGGATCCTTCGCACCCCCCTGAACCTTCTCTATTTCCTCAGCTCAAAATGAGGGTCCAAATCTCTAGCCCCCTCCAGGCCATCGTGGTCCAGGCACAGAGCTTGGCGCTGTTGGGATCTGAATCCTGGGGGTGGGGGACGGGGGAGAACTGGGGAGGGCCAGGAGGGCTGCAGGGAGACGGGCAGGCGCTGGGGAGAGAGGAGGCAGAGGATGGGGCGGGGGAGCAGATCCTGGGCAGAGGAAGTAGGGGTTCAGCCGGGACGAGGTAGGGAGGCTCCCGGGCTGGTTGGGGATGGAATAGGCTGGACTGAGACCCACAGGCAGCATCCTCCCCTCAACCTAATTCCCCCATGATTTATTAAATACCTACTGCATACCTGGCCGCAGGCCAGGTATGGTGCAGCAAAGCAGAGACAAAGGCTGACCATCTTTTCCTTTTTTTTTTTTTTTTTTTTTTGCAATTACTGTAGCCCAGAGCCAGGGCAGGACACATCTCTTATTTGAACCACTTGACATTTGACACTTTGCAACAGCCTTGCAGAGCAGAGGTTATCAGCCCTGCATTTCTTTAAAGGAAACTCGGGCTCAGAGGGGTTAAGTGACTGGCCCAAGGGCACACAGACGGGAAGCAGTGGCACAGCCCGAGGCCAGATGGGTCTGTCCCGAGCCCAGTGCTCTGTCCGCCACCCCCCACCCCCACGCTGCTCCTGCCCTCTGTCCTGGAGCTGGAGAGCAAAGAGGTGGGGAGAGGGGCACGATCAGGAGGGAGAGACAGGGAGAGAAAGGGGAGGAGGGGGAGGGGTGTGGCTCTGGGGCTTCGGCACCCGATGACGGTGACCTGCTGGGACAGGGCTGTGGGGCCAACAAGCCCAGCGTGCAGCATCGTCAGGCCACAGAGGCCAGACATCTGCCGTGAGGCCTCTGGACACACGACAGTACTGCCCCATACCGTCCCCCGACCCCGCCCGCGCCCCTTTCAGCAGGGTGGTGCCGGGGCCCCGGCTGGGGCATCGGCCAGGCAGCTCACGAAGCTGGGGCCACTGTGGTGGAGTCAGGGCCCGGTCTGCCCCCGGATCGTCTGTTGCCATGACCACGCTCGGGCCCGGTCTGGGGCCCAGCGCCACGGCGTTCCCCAGCGAGAGCTTCGCGGGTCCGTGGGGAGTGAACTCGTGATCTTGGCTGGGCAGACAGCCCCTGGCCTGGCCGGTGAATTAACTTTTCCTTAGGAAACTATTCACTTTGCTCATTCATGGTGTCCCCCTCTGGGCCCCGGCGCCTCCCAAGACAGCCCGGTGTCAGACGGCCAGAACCCCACCCAGCCATCGCTGCCCAGTGGCTGAGGACGCTGACCTCACGCCATCCTATCAGTGTGGGAATGGCTGCATTTTTGCTAGCAGTAGCCACATCTCCTTAGGGCTCACTGTCGTAGCCCAGCCTGCCCTCCCACGGCTCTGGGCCCTGCTCAAGCTGCTTACGGCTGGAGAGGGTTGACCGCCCAGCGGAAGGCAGACAGCCCCCAGCCCCGGGCCGGACCCTCTCTGGGGGCAGAGGGGAGAAGAAGCAGGTAACACCGTGCAAAACACCGTGCTCAGAGGGAAGGTCTGGGTTTATGCCCAGACTCCACTCTTCCCAGCTGTGTGTCCCTGGGCGCACCTCTTAACCTCTCTGAGCCCGATTTCACATCTGTTAAAATGAAAATCGTAATCTCTGCCCTTCCAACCTCACGGGGGCCATTCTGAGAAGCATGAATGAGAAAATGCTTTGTAAACATAAATTGCTTCGGCCAGCGTATCTTTCTTTGTAGATGTGCAACATCATCATTATCATCTGCATTATTATTGTTACTGTGCTTTTATTGGTTCTGGCTGATGGAGGGTTCTACCTACTCACTTCCAGGGGTCCCAGGGGCTGTTCCCGGTGGAGTTCCTGGAGGCGTCTACTACCCAGGTAACGTACAGGAAACTTCCGTGTGCTCGGGGAAGGCAGGTCCTGATTAGTTTGTAAGAAACGCACGGTGTGACAATGTGGAAGGGGAGACATGGGCACGCCTACCAAAGTGGACCCACAAGCCCCTCCTACTTTCAAAAGCAGTCCGCGTGACACTTTCACAAGCACTCAGAGCATAAATTTTCTGAAAGTTGAAAGACGATGCTTGCGAGGCTGTAGGAAAGTGGGCGCCTTCAGGCACCCCTGCCTTTCAAACCCTTAACCCCGGTCTTGGGAATCCACGCAAAGGAAATAACTAAAAAGCAGAGAGAGATCCCGAAGAAGGTCCATCGGAGGGTTATTTGCAAAGACGTAAAACCATAAGCCCACCTGACTGAAGGGAGTGATCAAGGACACTCTGAAATAACACCCAGCTAGTCAAAAGTATGAGTGCGCTACCAGCACAACCGTATGGCGAAACGTTCTTCAAGTGCAAACAACAGAAAAGCAGCATTGGGGACTGGGAACGCCCCCAAAAGATAATGATAAACAGTAGAATGTGTTGCAGCCGTGGCATGGGGTGGGGGGGGTGGGGGGGCGCGTTTTCTTTGAATGTGGAAAAAGGCATCATGCTTTAAAGTAGATTGAAAAACCGAAGGTAACGCTTTCAATACTGAAAAAGTAATTTGAGAGGCGCTTCTGGGAGGTGCACGCCTGGAGGTGTAGGAAGAGAGGTGCCTGGAAAGGATGGGGAAGCCCAGTACCCTTCCCCTACACCTTACCCTCTTCCATCTCGCTTTTCCTGGGTTACGTCCTTTTATAATAAACTGGAGATCTAGTGGGAAAAAAAAAAAAAAGGCAGTTGAGTGTTCAGAACTGATATGAAGGTGAGGGCAGCCTCGGACACTCCCAGACACTGGCGGGCACCAGGCTGTTGGCCCAGTGGGGAACTGAGGCTCACGGAGCTTAAGGCTGGCCCGGCATCATGCGGCTAGGCAGTGAGGGACTTGACTGTGGGTCAGTGGGCAGCTTTCTGGCTGGCTAAAAAGAGAGCGCTCCATGAGTGAGAATGCCGTTGGCATTCTGATGGTTCATTCTCTCTCTCTCTCTCTCTCTCTCTCTCTCTCTCTCTCCCTCTCAACGCAGGGGCTGGTCTCGGAGGTCTGGGAGGAGGAGGTAAGCTCAGAAACCAAACTTGGTTCTCACTGATGGGGTCTGGCTGTGACTCTGGCCCAACCGGGTCCCCAGGTCCCAGAACCCCAGAAGGCCTCAGCATCAAGGGCCCCTCAGTTTATGGACGGAGTGTCCAGTGCTGGGGGAGAGAGCCCACCAGCCTCCCGGGCCCCTCCCCTGCCCTCTTTCCTGTTTCTTTTGATCTTCCGTAACACCCCTGCAAGGCCTACCGGGTGGGTATCACCTTTCTCTTCTGGGGCTGAGAAACTGAGTCTGAGAGAGGGTACGCCATGAATCCGGTCAGCTTCCTACCCGCACATCCAGACACCGGGCTCCCAGCAGCTACCTGTCCAAAGGGTGGGGGGACCATTCCCCGACAGCCCCCTTCTAGAACCCGGGAAGTGAGAAGCCCCAGTGCCCCGAGGAAGATAAACAGTAGATAAATGGTGGCGTGGGGCTCTCTATACATTATCACCTCTTTCCCTCTGCAGCTCTGGGGCCAGGAGGCAAACCACCCAAGCCAGGTAAGACCCGAGGCCTCAGGGCATGGCGAGAGGGCTGGGAGCACGGGAGGGGAGGGCCCACAGAGTGGTGGACCCAGTGAGGCGGGAGGGAGATAAGCAGGCTGGGGCCAGATCCCCAGGCTTCTAAGGAGCAGGCGGCTTCTAAGGAGCAGGCAGCTGGCGGCCGCTCCAGGTCTCCTCCGTGTGAGGAGTGCCTCGCATCTACCCTGCATAACGCCTGTGTGCCCAGCTGCCTGGAGAGTCCCCTGGGCACAGGGTCTCAGAAACAGCCCCAGGGGCAAAGGTAGGGACTGACGTTCCAGGGGCCACCAAGCCTGTGAATGTCAGTCTGGCGCTCAGACGGTAGGCTCCAGACTCCATCTGGATGGTCCCCTGACCCCAGACGGAGCTTTCTCTAACGCCAGGCCAAGACCCTAGACATTTCTGACCTCTGTGACAATCGGAGTCCTTATCTGACCACAGACTGAACCCCGACCCTAAGCCCCAGATGAGCTCCCTTCCCGACCAGGCCCCTTCCGGCAGTGTCTAGACCTTGGAGGTTTCCAGTAAGAGGATCTGGTTAGATCTGTCCAGGCCTTGCCCGTGGGGCCCGGATCTGCCACCGAGGTCCGCCATCAGCTCAAACAACACACCCCCAGGAAAGGGGGAGGGAGGGTCCCTCCGGGAAGCCCTTAGACAAGCAGCAGGTGGAGGAAGCGGTGTCTCAGTCCAGATTTATGGCGCCGTCGGCATGAGATTCTCCACATGTGGCCTTGGCGCCCCCGGCTCCGCGTCTCCCTGGCTCTGAAGCCGGAGGCTCCGGGACAGTTTGGATGTCCAACGACTCTTACGAAATCCTGATGCTCAATGATCCAAGTGCAAATGAATCTACGGGACCCAGATCCCTCTTCCCTGCAAGCCCATCTGGGTTGTGAAATTCCAGGGCCGGGCCAGGCGAGAGAGAGGCAGGACAGCAGGAATCTTGGGCAAGGGGTGTCCTGGGGTCTGGAAGGGTCTGCGAGTCCGGGAGACTTTGTGCTTCACTGCTTATCCGGCCAGAACCCGTGTCCTGTCTCCCTTGGAGGGGCGACCCTCACAGGGTCTCCGG